GCGAAAGAGAGAGAAAAAAAAAGAAAAGTCGCTTTAATTATTCACCGGGGGAAAGCGAATGGAAGATGCGCCAAAAGTTAAATAATTACATTTCCAGCAGCTGGCTGAAAAGCAGAATAGGTTAATTAAAATGAGCAGCGCGCAACTCGGCCATACAATCGCGCGCGATGTTCACGATCCGTTGAAACATTATGTAAATATGGTTAACGATTGTTTGTTCTCGCTTCTTTTCCCTTTTTTCTTTCTTTCTTTTCTCTCCTTTCTCGTCATCCGATTCTCTCTTCACACCGTCAAATCGGTCGACGGTCGGTTGTGCATCTCTACTTTTCTTTCTTTCTTTCTTTCCTCTCTTTTTCGTCCTTCGAAACTTGCACGCGAGAGATTAAAACGCGTTTTTCTTTTTTCTTTTCCAAACCCCGTATTCGCGATTATTACGACGAGTAGCCCGAGCTTTTATATTATCCGCCCTGAAAATTCCGGCCTTATCTCGTCCACAATGTTTCACTGACGCCTCCGCTGTCCCCTCTGCTCTCTTCCGCCGCCATTCTTCTCGCTCCCCCGGCGACACGAGTATTCAGCGCGTGCTCTTGCAAATTTTCAATCGCATCAGTCATCACGCGGTTTCGAATCGCTTGGCGAGCATTATCTGCATCTCGGAAAGACTCAAAGCGCCACCAGCCACGCCACCAGACCCGCTCGTCGATCTGTCCTTTCAATTCGTGGCTCTCTCGTGTACGCGTTTGCCATCAACCGACTGCGAGCCCTGCTACTCTTGTATTCTTTTCCAACGCTTGCGAGAGAGAGTATTTACTATTTACAGTATTTGAATACTCGCCATCTCCCATTTTTATTCTTGCTTCCCCGTCGTCGTCCATGTTTCTTTTCCCTTCCGCCAGTTCTCGTACGAATTTGAACGGAAGAGCAAAATTGTTTCACGGAAGGCTGTTTTAACCTTTTGCGCGACGTATTTACTCGCTGGCGACGATGCGAAATATTTCACCTGGAGATTCTCCAAATTTTATGCACTGTAGTCGCACTTTTGTAATCTTATGCTTCCTCTGGTATTAAATTAAACAACGTTCCCGTATATTTTCACACCGATCAGTCGATGTTTTTCCAATTTTGAAAGAAAAAAAAAAAATATATATATATATATATAAGAATCGGGACTATGAGACTTTTAACGAGTAGAAAGATTAAAGTTTAACGTGAAAAATGATCTTCCATAACGCTTATGAAGAGTCAGAACTTTCAGAAATTTTGGGTTTGTTATGGAGTCCCCGGCGTTCGAGCAGGTTAATCTCTGTTTTTACAAATCTGCACGTTCGACTCCGAAGTTATTAACCAGTGTCGTCTTTGGTTCGTTTACAGGTCCAGAAAACAGCTGGCCAGAGAGCGAAGGTCACCGGAATATAATTAGTCCGCCACTTATGGAACGTCAGGCCAACTATGGGTACGCTGAAATGCTCGCACTGGAGGACGAGGTCTACTTGGAAATCCTCAGCCTTTGTGCGACACATGTGCCCACGAACAACGTTCACATTTCCTTCTTCAATATGGCACGTTTCGTTTCGTTCGACCGTCCGTCGGCAGCATACCACGAAAGGAACAGTCGGGAAATGACCAGTGTGTACATTGGATGGTCAGTATCAGAAAATCTCCCAAGGTTAACCAGCTTTTTTTTCCAGAAGCATCCCACACGGACTTCCTCCTTGTGCTCCTTTTACAGGAACATCTGCGGATCGAACTGCGCTGGCGGCGGAGGGCCTTGAACGACGAGCCTCTTTGGATTTTCCAAATAAGAGACAACCGATACTACAAGCACGTGGTAATTGCGACAGCTGTAATTACCGGTGTATTAGCCGTTGCAAATGTCGAATCGAGCCAAGCACAAGGTTTCCCCTGTAGACCCGAATGGGGGCGAGGGAAGAAGATCGTCCAATTAACCGTCTCGTTTAATTGAATTTTATTTCCTTTTCACTTGATCCAGTTTCACTCGGGACTTGGGCGCGTTCGCTCAAGGCGAACGGTAATGCCTCGAGGAACAATCGTCGAATGACAATTTAAGTCTCTGGTAAATCACCGAACGATTAATTGTACAATAGAGAAGGCCGGGAGGAACTTCAGGCTTCGACAGTTCGCAAATTGTCGTCCAGAGCCGCACGAATATTGTGCAAACGGAGGGCGCTCCATACCTCGCTTAATGCTCTCGTCCAGACGCAGGGGGAGGGCGAAGCATTCTTTCAAATTTTTCAGACAATTCGTTTTGCGGCGAACGGCACGAGGGAGAAAGAGAGAGAGAAAGAGAGACAGAGAGGGACGAAGCTGAGAAAGGAGTTTCGGATGGAGCGAGAAAAGGGGGATGCGAGGAGCAGCAATTCCTCAGGACGAGTCGAGATGGAGGTGCAGGTATTCTTTTTAAGGCGGAACACTTTACTGCTGCTCGTTCCACCGCTGGTAATGGAGAATCCCCCCGACCACCCAGAGGAATTAATTCGGGGCTAACGCCGAGACACTCCCCGATATCGAGTCACTTCGTTCCGCAGGCCAATGTTAGTATCTGCTTACCACCCTCTTGGTTAGCTTCTCACCGTACTCAACCACTTGGTCTCCTCCTTTCTCTTTGCTCCTCGGAACGATTTCTAATTTGTCCTCTAATTTGTCCGAGAATCCGTTATACTGGGTCACTTAAAAAGAGAAAGAAAAGAGCGAGAGGGAAAATGGAAGGAAAGAAAGAAGGAAAAGAAAAGACGGAGCAGAACGGTTCTCTCCAATCTCTTTTTTCTTTTTTTTTTTTTTTTGCCTCTCACGTTTGTTGGCTGCATTCGCGTCCGTATTTCGTCTCATATTTGGCTGCGATTTTTGCCATCAATTGTACGCTTAAGCAGTCGTGGCAGCCCTTTATTGCCAGGAACGCGGCCTCCAAGATGAAAAGCAAACTCCTGGCGAGCTTCCACCAGAATTAAGAGACACTCGAGGCGCTTTTTAATTAGCTCGGAAAGGACATCATCCGGGGAGAGGCCGGAGCTTCGGTCTAAATACGTAATTAAAGCCACGAATGGGGTGTAGTTAACAGTAACTGCGCGAAACACGTCATCGACTGCCCGGCGGAAATCGACCGGAAAACGTGCTCTTTCGTAAGAGGCATCTTTGGCGCGGTTCCTCTTCCCTGATCCTCCTGCAAAGCCACCCCCCTAACCTTCTAACGCGACGCTCTTGTGAAACGTTGTCTCATAGATGCAAATCTTTTAGATTCTCGTATCCGTGGAAGCGTGCCACGGTGGTGGGATTCCTCTTTCTTCCACGGCACGGAGCACGTGTCTGCCTCTGCCGCAGAGCTTCCGCTTCTCTCCGAAATTCCCCGAGAGCGTAACCTGTAACCTCTCTCTACCCGCTGAAAATTCAAAAGATTTCCAAGGAAATTCGAAAAATCGAAATTCAAGTGCCTCGTGTTTGAACGGTGCATAGGCATCTGTCGTGAGAAGCACGCGCGAAAGAGATGAACGAGAGAATCTAGGGGTGCGAGAGGACGAGGGAGACTTTGAAGAGGGAAAGAGAGAGAGAGAGAGA